TTGGACGGCAAGCTCTGGGCAGGCAGGTGATTTAGAAACTGCAACACATCACTGTGGTCGCTGAGGAGCTTAAGCTGTTCATCAAGCGGTTTGACGCGGCCCGGGGCGGCGGCAAGGGCTCCAAGCAGATTGGAGGCGGCCAGGGTGAACAAGTGACGATCGGCTGCCACGATTTGAGTCAACGCCACTCCGTGGTAGCCAGGAGGGGAAGGCCGCTCAAGCGTCACAAAGAGCTTATGCACCCAAGCCTCCATGGCCTGATATGTCGCGAGGCCAGCAAGATCAAAGGCGAGGCTCCTTCGCGCCCAAGCCTGGCGAAGGGTCCACTCGGAACCCGTGTCACAATGTTCGAACTTGTCAAGCTTGGAAGTGACCTTAAGGTTTCCATCTGAATCAATCGACAAAGCTTTGTCTGCTTTGGCCGACTGAATTTCCTGAGCCCTTGAGAGGTACTTACCGGGAGGCAGGTAGACTAGCGTCCCGGTTTCAAGCATTTCCACAAGTCGATCTACCACACCATGGGATGGTGTGGTTTCCGGCGAAAAATGTATCCCGGCGAGCCGGGATTCCTGCGCCTTTTGCCTGGCAAGGCGCTCGGCAACTGGCATCTTCCTGGTGACGAAATCGTTTGAAGGCTCCACTCGGTTCTTCATGTCACTGATTGAGAGGGCCTGGGCCTCGAAAAGCAAGCGTCGCAGGCAGGAAACCTGGTGGTGCTCGGGTGCCGGTGTGAAGACTGCACGAATCCATTCCTTGACCTCTTCCTCGCTGACGCTGTTGGGCGAGGCTGAAACTGCGAAAGCCAAGGCGCCAAAAGTGCTGTACCCCTGCGCTTCCAGGGTGGCGTGATTTGCAGCAGAGAGTCCCACCTTCAAGGCACGTTCTTTAAAGGCTGCTTCCGAGTCCAATGTCACTCCGGCCATGCTCGCAACCCTCTAGCGCTAAGTGACTTGAGTCAAGCGCCTCACACAAGCAGACATTCGTGCGATAACTGCAGGCTGTCACTGAGACGGACGACACACCATGTTTTGCCTATGCTGCATGCAGGCAAAGGTGCCGAGGATGGGCCAAGGCCCAGATCTCCTCTGGTTGTCGAAAGCTCGCCTCAAACCGGCTCCCGGTCGCGCGCTCTCCGGCACTGAATGCAGCAATCTGGATCTGCTGCTGCCGCGCCGGCCCTTCCGAATTTCATGTACGCTGCGGTCAAGAAACGACCACAAAAGAAATCCGTGCTTCGAGGGTCCTTCAGGCAGTGAACAACGCCCGACACCCGGTGCACGTAAACAAGTTCCAAGTCCACCGGCTGCTGAAAAGGTGCTCTCGCCACATCGGCTCGGTCTTCCCCCGAGAGTGCTTCCTCGCTCCCTTCGGAAGTCGAGCCACCCTCCTCTCCGCTAGCCTCATCGAGAGGCCCGATTGCGGGAGGGATCGTGTTTGCCTTAGGCTCAGTTGGCCTTCTATGCGAGTTTTCAGCGGCTGCAGCGAGGACTCTATCGACTTCCGGCAAATCCGGATCATAGCGTCCCTCACGAATGTCAATGAACATCGCGAGGATCTTGCCGTAGAGAGCGGTGTATGCCTGCCTAGAGTAGATCAAGGGAGACTTGTCTTTGGGCTTCACGTGATGTCCCACCAACCTCTGGTCACCAGAGGAGAAAGAGACCGTCGGGCACCGGGAGGTCCAAGTAGTAAGTGTCGCCTTCAGCGAGTGTGAGCCGCGCTTCAGGACTTCTTCCTCTTCGAAACCAGCCCTCAAGAGGAAATCCTGCAACCAGGAGGTAGCCTCTCCCGCTAACATAGGCAGGGAGGTCCATTCTCCGGAAGTTTCCGACCAGCCCGGAAGGGTGAAGGCCTCAAGCTTCAATCCTTGGTTTTGGCGAGCTTCGAGCCAACGGTTTGCCCACGGCAGCTTTACACCCGACCCAATCGCTGCATAGGGCAGCAGCCGGGTTTTGGCCTCCTGAGTCTTCGAAGTCTTCGAGGTGAGGCCTTCCGCAATCACAAAGGTCTCGCCATGGGAGGTTTGCACGGTGATTGACTTCAGCCTTTGCGAATCCGTCCACCGCGCCCCCGAGTGGAGGCAAAATAAGTGCTGCCCCATGATACAAGCGTCGCGGTCGTTCTCCATGTCGATAGCCGTCTCCAGCGCCACGACCATCTTAAGAGTGAGCTCATCCCGTTGATTTAGGGGGGCCTTTGTCAGGTACAGGTCTGCTGCCAAACCCTTGACCCTTGCACTCATGCAGTCGTCGAGGGAGACGTGCCTCAAGACGGCCACTCCATGCAAGAAGCGAAGAGCTTCCAGGAAATGGGAGGCCGAAGTGGGGCCCCCTTGGCCACTCTGGAAAACCTTCATGTAGTCGAAGAGGTGCTTTTCACCGAAAGAAAGCGGCGAGTGCAGGGAACCGTTCAGTGCCCACCTGAAGAACTTCAGAAGGGCCGAAGTTCTCTTGCATAGGGTGCTGGTGGCCTTCAAGCGGAAAGCCGCTACGAAAGAGCTTTTGATCTCATCTTCTTCAGCCGCACGACCGACCAAGCCTGCTAGGCTCATCCCCAGCTGAGTGGCCTCGACGTCGAAGAGGATCATAAACTTCAAGTTCTTTAGCGCGTGCGACCTAGCCTCTTCCTCGGACCTCTGCACAGGCATTCGTTCCAAGTATTTTCGAACCATGGGGTTCAGCTTCAGATTGAGCTCCGTCTCCAATGCCGGCTCGGGGTCCAGTGAGGTAGCAACCTCGGGGATGCCAATCAGCCTCAAAGGTCTCTTAACTTCCCAAGCGTAGCTCAATCTGCCTGGGAGCTCCCAGGCTTGTTTTGGCACTGTCTCGGCAGCCTGCTTCCTTTCAAGCTCCGCCGCGACCCTTTGCACATCCCTGTCGTCCATTGGCGAAGCCAAGAGTTTCGGAGCTTCGGGTCCACGTTCAACAACTGACCACACTGAAGCCTCAGCTTCATCACTGGTAGGCCGGCGCACATCGCCGTACCACGCTTCCTCGGCTGCAGATCCGAGATCGCTCCAGCCACTCAATCCAAAGCAGGTGCCGTCATCAGCCTCCTGAAGATCAAGTTGGTCCCTCGCGTCACTTCCAGCCCGGGACAGCAAATCGTCAAGATGTTGTCGAAACTCGAGATCGCCTTGTTCGTCCTCCACCCGGACGGGGCTTTCGAAACGAGGCTGTCCTTCTGAAAGATGAGAGTTTTGGTCTGGCTCCGGCTGGATAGGGACTCCTTCAGCCGGGGCTTCCTGCGGAGGTTCCTGGGCCGTAGAACCCCCTAATTCACAGGAATCGGCCGCAAAGGATTCCATGGCAGCAGAAATCCTGGGTCAACAGCTTGAAACAAAACTTGCATGACGAAGCACAGCCGAGTTTGCGAAGGCTTGCAACATGTGCAATCAAGGCAACACGCAAGACTGCGGGGCACAGCGCTGAGCTTTCTAGCACGATGTCCTCCTGAGCTCAAAATTGTAGCGAAGTCCTGGAAAAGAGGCGACCTTCAGGAGGCCGCGTGGCACGATCCGGGGTTGGGGGTCCGCCGGAAAGCAAGGGCATCGGCTGAGGCAGGTTAGGGATTAGGGTCAGCGCCGCGAAGGGCCAGCACCGCAGCCTCGAGAACAGCAATGCGCGAAGCCTGCTGCTCAAGCCCCTGAGTCAAACTCTGGATTGCACTGCTGAGCAAGAAGAACGCACTGGTGTAGGAAGGGTCCTCACCAAGGCGGCGGACCGCACCTTCATCCTCCAGGAGCAAATGCTGCAAGCGGCCGTGGCCCCCAAAGCCACTTGAGCTACAAACTGCCGGTGCATTAAACATTCGGAACTGCGACACGCGTGAAAAGAACTGCATGTAAAGGCCAGACAGGCATAAAAACGTTTGTGTGATAAAATCATGATTTCACACAAATTTAAAAGATTGAAATCATGCAATTAAACGGTTCGCGGTTGTCGCCATTTTGAGGGTGAAGGATTTCCCTCAAATAAAACAACCTTGGAGTTTAGGTGGAAAGAGTTATCCGCCAGCGGAAACGTGTCATCTGATAATTTTGATCATTGTAGATTTCCTTCAGTCTTGTATAAGAATACTGGTGGTTGTCATGGTCTTCGCCATGGAGATGCGGCATTAACTCAGTGGATATACAAGGAAATTGGAGGCCAGGCCCGAGTCCCCCTTCCCTTTGAAACTCCTCCGCCGCAGCCTTCCAGCGGTCCTGCGCCCTAGGGTGCCCCAACCGGAACCAGGGGCGTTCGCCCCCTGGAAGCGTCTGCGCCTGGGTCTCCTCGCGGGCGGCCAACCGCTGAAGGAGGACCATCGCTTTGGCCTCAACAGCGTCGACATGCGCAAGGCGCCTTATTTTCCACGGAGCTTTGCTTTATTTCAAAAGGAAGATTCCAATCACAGTATTCCCAAGCTATATGGGAAAATCAAAGTATATAAAGGATAAGAAAATTGCTCAAGCAGATGCGGCGCTTTTTCCTTCCGGCAAAGCCGAAGGGGGAAGTCGTGACATCCCCGCACCGATCGATGGCGAACACGAGGATCGCCAACGAACACCCCGGGAGTGGAGGGAGGGACAAAAATTTCCGGCCCTTTGGCCAGGGAGCAGCTACCCACCCATCCCACCCCTGTCTCGAGGCGGCGCGGGAAATATAAGAGATGAACTCAGGCGATTCAAAGCATGCATTCATGCCATGAAATGTGGTTCAAAATAAAGCAAAGGCGTTTTGAAAACTTCGCAGTGATTTTCAAAACTCTCCTAGGAAAATAAAGCTAGTAGAGGCAAGCCTCATGTGTCGCTTATTTTCCACGGAGCTTTGCTTTATTTCAAAAGGAAGATTCCAATCACAGTATTCCCAAGCTATATGGGAAAATCAAAGTATATAAAGGATAAGAAAATTGCTCAAGCAGATGCGGCGCTTTTTCCTTCCGGCAAAGCCGAAGGGGGAAGTCGTGACATCCCCGCACCGATCGATGGCGAACACGAGGATCGCCAACGAACACCCCATTCACTTAAGAAGGAGATCAATCGTGGCATTGCCTTTGATCGGGCATCGAGGCGACACTCTGCACACCTGCCCCTTGACTGGAAAGATTGACTTAGCTCTCGAAGGAGGATCGGCCGGGTTGCTTGCACTTGGAACGCGGCTAAACCAAGGGAGCATCGCCTCAGCATCGCAGCTCTCAAAGATCAGCAAGAGTTGCCTCCACAAAGGGTCTTTAGAAGAGCCTTTCACCAAAGAGGCCAACACTCCGGAGTGATCCACATACATGGTCACCCTCTGCATGTTCAAGTGCTTCGACCACGCTTCTCTCGCACATACCACTGCATACATCTCAACTGGGCCTATCAAATGCCTTTTCCCGAGAGCCTCCCAGCTCTGTACAACGCTCAAAGGGATAGCACATGCCAAGAAGAAAGTGCACCACGCGCCGTTGTCGAAATGGTACAAGACTCCTCCGACAGTGGCAGGGTGAGTTTCATTCGTCGGCTCATACGCTCCATCTGTGAAAATCACAGAACGGCGAGACCCCACACAGGCCGGGACTATCCTAGGGGTACCCCCAAGAACCCGGGACCTAAGATTACAAAGGGCCTGCACAGCCGTGGCATCAAGGGTTTTGGCCTGAGAACTCATCGTGCACGCCCTAAGGTCGGCCAGTGCCAGTCTGCCCAATCGCCCGTGCAGCTGACCCTCGGCAAACTGGAGGCGACCGAACAAAGACGGCAGAGTCTTCGGATCAAGATGGCCCGCACTCAAGACGGAGTCCACCGCCTCAGCAATGGCAGTAGCACGTTCGGGCTTATTCCCAATCTTAACTACCCCAAAGCTTCCAAGGTCAACCCGAACGCCTAGAAGTTCGGCCTCATGGCTGAAGGGAAGATCCTTATCCTCTGCCCAGGCGAAACCCAGCAGGTCCAACGCGGCTCTGATAGTCGACTGCGTGTTGTTACAAAGTGGCAAGACCTCTAAAACCGGGTAATCGTCGAAGTAGTTGCAGGCGAGCACCTGCAACGCAATAAGAACCCTTTGGAGCAGTCTTGCAACGCGATTGAATGAAACCACCGACGAGGTGGCTCCAAACAGAAGGGTTCGGCTCTCGAAGCCAAACGCGAGCCCCGAAACCGGGTCCTTGATGGCCACTATGCTCAGACAGCGGTCTCGTGGAGAAACCGCCAACTGTTTATAAGCACTTTTCAAGTCCACTGTTTTCAAGCTCGGCTGAAGCGCATCGGGCTTCAGGGCCCTCCAAAAGGAATGCACCGGAAAGCGAAGATGGTCACCGTCCGACAAAGGGATGCTCACCTCGCCTTTTGCAATGAAGATCTTGAAGAGAGTGATTGCAAGCCAGACCAATTCATCAAGGGCCCTCAAAGAAATCCGATCCGAAACAGCATAAGCGCAGTTTACAGAGTTCTCAGCCAAATCGTCAATCGACCGCGTCTTGGCTTTTTGCACAATGCCGAACCTCCGCACCGGAAGCCAGCCTTCTGGATGACGGGCTTGCAGCTCGTCCCACGAGTAAGGCCCTGTCAGCCACTCCTTGACTAGCATCTCTTGCTGTGTGGAGTCCCACACTTCCCGAGCTAAATCGTCCACCTCCGCGTTCGCCACCTTCGCCCACAGCGCAGGCCTAAGGAATTTAGCATGCTGCACAAGCTCTGCCCTTGTCATCAGAGCCGGTTTTCTATCCACATCGAAAATGCCAGAAGGACTCGACTCCCCCACTAAAGGAAACCCATGCTTGAGGTGTTCGAAGACTTCAGTGTCAGGCCAACTGAAAGATGATGCAATCTTTTCCAAAAGCAAAATGTTCTTGCCCTTCATAACAGAGGCTACACCAGGATCCATGGCAGCATGCAGATTTGCTTCGGCACCAGCCAAATCGCGTTTCCAAGAAGTCCACTGCTGGAGCAAATTCAGACGGTGTTTCATCACACCAACCGGGCCCTCTTTCAAGGTGAAAGCCAACGCTCTCAACATGAAGTCTGGGACTGCCACGCACAAGTCGAAAGGATGATCGATATGCAATGCCTGAGCCACAAACTCTTGTTCCGTGCGGTAAATGCCAAAGGTAACTGCTGAAGGCACACCTGACAGGCTTCCGACCTGTTTCGCACCGACGACCCCCCGATCACACACAACGCGAAGAAGGCGGGAGCCAGGAGGGATGGACCCTATGGCACATGTGAGATTGCCTTTATTATCCAAACAAAAGGGGCCACGGGAACTCACGGACCGTGGCCTGGCACTTAAACTCGGCGATCTGCGGCTGGAATTTTGACAATCGAGGCTGCCGCCCAGCGGCTGCGACGGCAGAATGTCGCGAAATCTGAAGTGGAACAGCGTGCTCAAGTAAGAGGCCAGACTGGCCAACCGCCAGCTGCAGGAGGCCAGCAAACACATCACAGAATTTGGGTGTGTACAAGACATCTGGTGCAAGCGAGCCCGCAGCATGGGGCCCGGGGCGACAACGACACGCTGGCACCGGCATGCCAGCCAGCGCGGCCTGGGTTGTGCACAGGCGCATTTTTACCGGACAGGGAGCCCCGTAGCAACCTGCACAGAAGTCTACGCAATGGAGGGTGTCGGGCAAGTCGAGCTGTTTCCACAGGGCTGACGCCCGGGGATGCAAGACACTCCAATGTGAATCAGATGCGAGCAAGAGCTTGGCGAGGCGAATGGTTTGCCCGGCGCTAAAAGTAGCCTTAAAACAATCCTTGGTCGCAGGAAAGAAATGCACGTGAAAAGGGGCGTCTTGGCTGATGACAGTCTGCGCAAAGGAAAAACCCGACTCAGTTTCAATGTCCACAGGGACAAGATGAGTGTGCACTCGCCCAGCGGGGCGAGAATGTTCAAGCGCTATGATTTGGAATCCGTCCCGCCGCACCCGAGCCGACAGCAGCCCGGACCCACACTTTATCTCGACATAGAGAGCAGAACCGGGCTTCAAGGGACACCAGGGTCGCTCACAGGTGCCTTAGGGCAAAAGGCGGGGACAACCGAAGCGGGCAAGGGCCTAAGCGACTCCTGAGCTGCAGTAGAGGTCAAGGATGGCCGCTGATGATCACACACTTCTGCAGGCGCCAACCGCGCGCCCTCGGGCGCGCATTCCGGAACATCAACATGACACTTGCGGAGAAGGTCAAGATGTTCCTTGCATAGGGACTCGACATGGCGGATTGTGAAAGCAACCAGCAAGACTCTACGGCCTTGCCACGCCTCGGTGTAGTGCCAATTGTGTCTGGCATTGAATCGGACAGGGCCCTGTGCAACCTGCAAGCGAGAGCCTCGAGCACCATTAAGGTCGGACACATCCCGACCGTTTTCATGCTCCACAAAGATGGCTCCACCTGAGAATTCAGTTAGTGCAATCGCCAAGTTATGCAAGTTGGCATTCCACTGATCACGATGGCGCTCAGTGCGAACATCCTCGAATATATTTATTGAAGAAAATTTAAACCCCGGTGCACGCTGCCTCACAAACCTTGCAAAGACCTTGAGCGCCTCCGGATTGGCTGAGGCATTGGCCTTCAAGCCCACATTGCCACCAAGAACATACGCTCCCGTGGCATAAGATTTCGAAGTTGGGAGAGGTGCATCGGCACCCCTCTTCAAGACATCCGAAGGAAGACCATCGAAAACTCGCAGAACATCGGTGGCACTCACATGACCCTCGTCAAGTGAAGAGCTCGCTGTGCCGCTCTGTGACTCCGCCCCGTCACGGGGCTTCGGGGACCTGCTGCGTGCGGCCTCCACCACACCTGGTGATGGCCGGGCGATGGCACTGTGAGAGCCAACGTTGTGCACGTGATGATCCTCTCGATCAACACCGGATTGCGGACGACAATCCTCTCCACTCGGAGGAGAGCCGCCCGCGCATGCATTGCTCGGCCGATGAACTCCCTCTCGGAGATCACCCACCTGTGCGGTCATCGCTGCCGGCTGATGCACACTCTCTGGAGCACCGGCCGCCGGCGAAGCACCCTCGAGACCAGCTAGCTAGTCACGAGCCACCCTGAGCCCGCTTTGGGCACTGCGCTGCACCATGGTTATGAGCACCGCACTTAGGCACTGCACAGATGTGCAAGCCCTTCTCGCACTTCTGCCCCTTCGTCGAGCATCCTCCCAGGTTGAAGGCAAAGCAGATTGGGTCCCCACGATTAGTGTGGGACCTGCAGCCTTCCAAGCCGGCGGGCAGCCTGGTCATGAACCTCTGCTTACCTTTCTTTCCTTTGCCCCCACCTTTGGTGTAAGGAGATGGCCTCTCCCACTTGGGAGCATCCGGCTTCTGGGGAACATCCTTTAGAACAGGGGCCGGAAGAGGTTGCAATAAGCATGACACCTCGTTCATGTACATCGCATCCGGCAGAAGTGTGTCCAACGGGCGACCCGATGCGACGGTCTGCACTCCTGCCCTGGTCTTATCACGAAGCTCGGCAAACAGTTGCCGATCCGCCGACTCAAGCTGCTTCCAAGTTGGCCTGACAAAATGCTCCGCAGGCGTCTGCATGCGAGCCTTCATCAAGCGCTGAGTCCACTGGTCGGAGACACTGAAATCGATCAGGTTTGCCTGGTCCATGGCCAGAGACCTCCTCGTGAGGGCCTGCTGAACAAGAATCTCTGAAGAAGTATCCGCAACCAAGTCAGGCTGCTTATGCCCAATCCGAAGCTTGCCAGAGGACTCTTCGACCGTGAACCTAACATCTCGTTTCTTCTCGCCAGCCAGTTCAGCTTCCTTTGATACACACCGGTCCCACGGAATGTACCTGAGCTCATTCGCCTCGTAGGAGGCCACAGCAAGGTCGACAAGTGCATCGGCAGGCTCCACAGGCCCCTTTAGCGAGATTCCGACAAGCTTCTTTGCCTGCCGCTCGTAACGCTCAGACCTCTCAGGCTGCGACTTCTCGATCCGCTGCTTCATTTCCGCGGTCACAATGGCATAAGCCTCATTGTACACCGCACGCCAATTGGCCTTGTCTGCGATTGTCAGATCTCGTTTCAGGATATCCTTCAACACCCGCATCAAAGGCTCCTCGTCTGTCTGGCCAGGGGTGAAAGAAGAAATGAAAGCCAGCCTCCTCAAGTTTCCCACCTCAGGCAGAATTTTTAGGACATCTCCTTCCGCGAAACCCACGACGCTCAATCGTGACTGAAGAACCGATTGGCTCTCAGAATAGTTCGCCATCTTCAGGAGAAGGACCCGGCTAGCAATCCGCTTAAAAGTCACACGAAGTATGTCAGCATGTTCTAGGCATACACAATGCGAAGCGTGAGCTAGACTCCGGCCGACCAGTGTTAGCGCAGACTCTAAAAGACTGAGCCGACTCGTCGGAACAACGATGCCTTGTTCTAGCGCACATCACTCACGACCCTCGCATTCACTCAAGCTATCGCATCACTCAGCTCAAGAATCGTGCTCCAGACACTCAGTAATCACCCTTCTTTTCTACAGCATCTCCTCGGCATCACTTCTTAGGTGGACAGCAGCTCCTACACAGCGGAAACAAAATTCGCGGGACCGCAGACAGCTTTACATACCTGGTTGAGATGCTCCTGCCACATCTGAACTTGTCGCCTTCCTCGGACGCGACGGCATGAATGAAACGGCTGTCTTTATTCCTGAACAAAGGGACTGCCTCAAGCTCGGCCCGCAAGCCTGCATCGGGCTCCCATTGCCTCCCCAGCTCATCGGCGGCGGCCTCCGCAGCTTCATGATCGACATCCTCGGCATCCTCGCTAGCCTCGGAAGAAGAATCCGACAGAACCTCGTCAGGGGGAACGGGCATCCCCTCTGGATCTTCAAAGCGCTTCACGAAGTAACCGGACCTGGTGGCATCAGGCATGAACCTTTCGCGTGACACTTCGAGCAGGACCTCTTGCAGCCGGCGCACAGGAGCAGACATGTTGTCTCTCCCATAAATGATCTCGGTTCCATCACGGCCCCTGGCGTGATAACCAAGGGCCGCCCTCACCTCGCGGGCTAGTCCGAGTTTGGCGCTCCAACTCAAGGTCGTCGCCTTGAGACTGTGCGTTCCAAGCGGTTCAACGGAAGACCTGTCGCATCCTGCCCGGATCAAGAGTGACTTCATCCATTTCGTGGCACTTGCCACCGCCAACGGCGCCGTTTGCCACCCTCCTCCAGAGAGCGGACTCGGAAGCAAGGGCTTACCCGTCCCCAAAGGAGGCCCATGCACTTTATAATACTCAAACCACTTGACACCCCGGCACCTCGCCTATTCCCTGGATGGGAGCGAACATGTGCAATACCTGACCTTTCTTTCCAGTGAAAACGAAGTTTTGCTTCGCTCAACAGCAGCCTCAAGGTATCCCACAACGCATCTGGAGTATCGCTCAAGTCACAAGTCATTGCACCTGCAGCCTGGGCATCTGAGTACCTCGCTCGTGCGTAAAGGGTCCAAACAAGAAGCCGGCAGCGACCCGATCTGCGGGTTCGAGAACGATCGAACCAGATGCTATGGCTTCATGATCAAGTTTGAGAGCTGGCTTCTGTCGAGTCTTTCTCTTGTCAAGATATAGCTTCGACGACAGCCCACGGACCCTGTGGCCAAAGACTTCATCACTCACCTTCAAGCTCACAGTGAACTTTGCAAAAGCGAGGCTGCTCAAGAAGCTTCTTGCGAAAGTGGGCGCCTCGTGTGATGCATAGTCTTGAAGGAAAGCACAGACCGCGGCTTCGGTGACAGGGAAAGGATTGACTTGGCTACCTCGGCAATGCTTGACGTACCTGGCTAGAGGCCCGGCACGACCTGAGATTGTGACGCTCGCCTTCTGAGAAAACACATCTTGCAATGAGGTCTTCAAGTCGGCATCTGCGGATTTTCCCGGTCCAACCAAATCGACAAGGAACCTCTCAAGAATCCCAAGCCACTTTGCCAACGTCTCTTGCTTCGGAGATTTTTTGATCCCAGCTCTGCCCCGGCGCATTCGGAACCCTCACTCCTGCAAGCCTGAGTGATTCAAGCTTTCCGAAGACATCTTAATCGGCCCTGCAGGGACGGCCGGGCCCCACAGGCATTGACACTATGTCCATAACGGTGCTGGTGTAGCAGTGGATGTTCTTGCACTCACTGTCGCAGAGCCGCTGCTGGGATGGAGTGCAAGGAGTGCCACAGGCAATCAGCCATAACACCAAGAGGGGAACCTGCGCTTCCCAGCCAGTTGCCTCCGGACCGTGCAACTTGACGAAATGGCCTTCATTCGTTCTCGTTTGCATAATGTTTCCGATGCTTTTGTCGAAAATCATTTTGGCGATGTCATGACCCAGAGGGCTCTTGATGCAAGCGTGGAGCAGGGAGATTTGGAAGGCGCCCTCGATAAACGATAGTTGTGCTCAGAAGGCGGCTTAGCGTGGCGCCCGCAGAGCAGAAACCGCACGGAAAGAGGCTTCGGATCTCATAGTCGTTCAAGACGCACCTTTTCCCATCCTATCTCGTTGGTTTGCTCACATTCGGAGCCGTAGCTGCTTGATCCAGGCCGCCAGTTTGGTCCCGTGTTGGCACCCACGGGAGCATGGCCCAGTTGAGGCTCTGCAGGGCCTCGTCGATCCAGTGCATGTGGAAGCCGCGGTCCGTCTGCCACCCGAAACTTTTGCGTTTGGCCCGTCTGCAGGTGGACGGTCTTCCCGATGTCGAATTCGAACGAGGAGTTGTCGCCCGTGCGCTTCCGGAAGTCAACGTAGATCGTCGTCTCTGCGAAACTCCCCCGTCGACTGTTTTGAGCGCGTGTTCATCATGAGTCCAGCATTGACACAAATTCTCCAGTGGGAACCGGTCAAAAAATGCATCCGGAAGGAGCTCGGTCAACTCCGAGAGCCCACTTCTGCATTAACACCTGGGCTCGACCCAAAAACTCCGGCTCATGAGCAGCGCCGTGCGTGTGAACACCATGTTCTACTGCGTCTAGTTGGTAGTTTGTTAGTTTGTCGGGGACCGAGAGCCACAGCCGTAAGTCGACGAGGCCCAGTCAAGCCAAAAAGAAACTCCACTGCCCCACACCACTCATCCCGCGGCTGCTCCGCGGCGGAGTGGCTCCCCTTCCCTCGCCCGCCGTTCACCCGGCCCTCCTTCATTCCCAACTCAGAGGACGGATGTGAAGTTGTGCCTCTGAGCTGCCTGTTGAGTGGTGGAGCCGCTCAGTGTGATGGGCTGCGTGCATATCATCAGGCTGCTGACTGCAGTTTGGGAGCAAGCCAATTTCCCTGCGATTCCTGGAATTTTCTGAGGTGCAATGGTTATCTGGATATATATTCTGCATGGTTTGGTTTTGCAGAGGTTTTCAAAAAGCACTGGGAAAGTTTTCACTGGGAGCTGCGATTTTCATGGCATGGAACCTTGGTTTTCAGCTGCGAGAACAGTTTTCGACATGTGGCATGAGTTGCTTGAGCTTTTGAGTGAGCTGAGTGAATGCTGTGAGCCGTTAGTTTGATTAGAGTCCGCATGAGTTCTCGAAGGCTTCAAGGTGCCTTCTCGAATGGCAGTGGTGTATGCGAGTTTGTTTTGCCAGCGTGGAGCGTGTATAGAAGCTGTGACGGCATGCTTTTGAAGCGAAGTTTTGTTTTGGTCATGTGCTGAAGCACATGTGAATCTGGAAAGCCGCGCTTATGTGTGGCTCAAGGCTGGAAAGCTTTGAGACTGAAGCTCGTTGAGAATGGGCCAGTGATGAAACTTGTTCTGAGGCCCATGAAAGCAGAAAGCAAAGCTTAAAGCTTTAGGTGACAGCAGTGCAGTGCAAGAACAGCTGAACACTTCGTTGCGCGAGCAAAAGTCTGTGCAGACCTTGACGGGTTGTTCAGGGTTTGAAAGTTTTACATGGTAGCGGAGCACTGTTTGTGCTCCCACACCATTTCCGCCGACCCAAAGAAGGTGTTATGTCTCAAAGGCCTATAGGTCCAAGTGCTGAGGCGCCAGCTCCGTGTAGTCCAGGTCTTGCTGAGGCTGGAGGGGAGTATGGGTGTGGTACGGCTGGGTGTGGGCAACAGGAAAGGAGGCAAACAGGTGTGGAAGGTGTGAGTGGTGTTGGGTCAAGCGATCCATGGTTTACAGGTGTTCAGAGAGATCCCTGGGCGTTGTACGGAAATCGTATGCGTGCTGGAATGGGACCGATGGAGTCTCATATTAGCATGCCATGTCCACCTTCGAGCGGTACGTCTTCAGTTGTGAGTGCATGTGCTGGTATTAGGCCAGTGGCGCCAGCTCCAGGTTTGTCAGTGCCTTCGGGTCCTGCGAGGAATCTTTCGACAGTTCCGAGTCAAGGATGTTGCAGTCAGGTTTCTGGAGATAATGCTAGTGCAGGGAGACAGCTGCTTGATCGCATGAATGCGCGTGAGTTGCAGTCCTTGTATGCAGATCTTAGCCAAAGACTGAATGTTCCTGTGAGTGGACAGTTCGTTCCTGAGAGATTGGGGCAGTCGCCACCTGATTTGAATGTGCCAGCTTTTGTGAGACATCAAGGTAACACGTTACCTGGTGTTCCAGCTGAAAATGCGAGGAGCAGTGAAGACAAAGACGTCTTTAGCCGCAGTGAGAAGTGGCTAGGGTCTCCACCTTCGCAAATCATCAAGCGTGGAAAGGGCGTGAATCTGAAGTGCTGGGCATGAATGCCTATATTCACGAGTTGGTTGCATGGGCGAATCAAGCAAGTGTTGAGTTTGGAAAGGAGATCGCTCAGGCCGCGCGATGGCCTACACAGATTGCATGGAACACGTTGTCTAAGAGTCAACAAGCGCGAGGAGTTCGTTTGTTTAGTGTGCTGAAGGCAGCGTTTGCAGATCATGGGCGGATAACTCTTATGATCCAAAGCTTCGGAGAAGGGCTTGACATTGTTGCAGTCGCCATGCAGGGAGATGTTTTCGGGAACTCTCTTTCGTATATGGGTAATGGCTTTGAGTTGCTTAGGCAGCTTGCCAAGGAGTTTTCTTTGAGAAGTCGTGCTGAGGCTATGAGTCTCAGGGCGATGCTGATGGCAAGAACGTTTCGAGCGCAAGACTCGTCAGCTCCAGTTGCTGACACAGTGCGTCAGATTGAGGTGGCAGTGGCAAGGTTTGTGCGTTTACTTTCGACGCTAGATCCTAGAGATGCTGCTGGGTTTGCTTTGACTGACAGTGATCAGCTTACGCTTTTGATGAGGTCTTTGCCTGAGAGCGCAAAGGCGTATACGTTACATCATTCGCAGGGTGAGACATATGCCTCATATCGATCTTCAGCTTTGCGATGGGAACATCAGCAGCGTTTGTTTCTTGAGTTGCAAGGGGCCAAAGGTTTGTTTGGCTTGCATGAAACCGAGTTTTCTGAGAGCGCAGGTTCGCCTGAGGCAGGTGAGGGAATGGATGGTCACGTCTTTGGCATGAGTGCTAGGCCTTCTGATGCTGGGAGCGGTGTGAAGTGCAACCGTTGTGGCAAGAAGGGGCATCAAGTGAATCAGTGCACGGCAGACCTTTCCAAGGTTAAGTGCTTCAAGTGCGGAGAGATGGGCCACATATCTTTGAACTGTGCCAAGGGCAAGCAGGGTGATGTTTCTCAGTCGAGTGCGAGGCCTAAGGGTTCTGATGGCAAAGGTGCTGCTGCGGCCAAGGGTCAAGTTTCTTTTTCGCCTAAAGGCAAGAGCAAAGGAAAAGGAGGAAAGAAAGGAAAAATGTTTGCTCTGTTTGATGAGGAAACGGGGGTTTGGTGGTACACAGATGCTGATGAATCTTTTTACACCGAGGAAGATGATGAGCAAGAAGCACAGCAGGTGGACTCCACTCTTGTGTTATCTTGTGTCATTGAGTTAACTGATGAGCCCAATACGCGTTTTGAAGCTGTCTGTGAAGACAGCGAGTCGGTGTCTGTTGTGCTCCAAGAGCAGTTGTGTCAACCTTTGTTGCAGTCGTTGGGTCAGTCGCTTGGAAGTGAGTTTTGGCTGCTTGACTCAGGTGCGTCATGCTGTGTTATCAACCATGTGACTTTGAAGACGCTTCCGCATGATGAGTTGACTGCATGTGGTTCGACGTTTATGGCTGCGAATGGGACTCCTGTTCCCTTTGATGGTCGTTGCCATGTTGTGCTAAAGGTTCGAACAAAGGATTCAAGTGGAGCTACCAAGAATGGTGTCTGTAAGATCCCTGTGATGGTGGGTGACACTCCTTACAATATCCTGTCAACGCGAACTCTTGGAAGGCATGCATCCATCATGCGTGCGTGAATGGGTTTTATTTTCCGCCGAAAGTGTAGACAAAGTTTGTCGAAAAAGGAAAACAGTGTTTTCACTTGTGTGTGAGTGACACTAGACAAACTTTGCCGTGCAGCTTTCGGCTTGGAGTTGGATCTGTGATCCAAAAAAGTTTTTGTAGAGTAGCTTGTAGTGCTCCGCAGCAGTGGGGGTCGTCAGCGACGTCCTTCCACTCCCCTTTTTATAACTGTCAGTGGCAGTTATGGTTGACCAAGCAGCCCGCAATTACGCGGCTGAGTCGCCAGAGGCGCCGTACCCTAGAAGGGACGGTCGAGAGAATCAGTTGGCAGCGCCACAATGTTTGCAACGCGTGCGACAGTGTCGCTCCTGCCTCCGTTTTTTGCAGTGCAATCCAATTTTCGTGCTAGAGCAGGCCATGCGTGAGGAGATGGCACAACAGGAGATAAGTTATCTCCTTTGGGCCATTAGCTGTGCCATGCGGGTAGATCCCGCGGTCGTCAGCGACGACCATGAATCTCTGAACCGCGCAGGCGAAGGGGAGTCCAAAGTTTGGCCTCCCTTTTACCCTTTCGCGCAGATGCAAGGGGAACAACCGGATACCTCAGGCAGCGCCTATCCGATGCACCGGTATACCATGTCGCAGCGCGACGTGCCTATGCGGCCAGCGGCCACACCTGGCTGGCCGTATACTGGCCTTTTTGACTGGCCCCCCAGTGGGGAGGAGGATAATGTGCCCAAACTCCAGTGGAGACTTAATT